AAGACAAGAAACACCAGAGATAATGACGGGGCTTTGAAACCAAAGAGGTGGCTTGGCTGGAAGAAACATGACACAACTCAATTTAGATTCAAGCCAGGCCAATCCAGAGCTTCTGCTGCTTAGTTCAAAACCAAACACCCCCCAACAAAATCAATACACACATACACAAAAAAAACGGACAACTCAGTTCTGCTTTTAATTAAGAGGATTGTTAAATTTGGTTAGTTGGAGTGTAAAGAGATTTCTTTATAGGCCGACGGGGCAAAGCAGCAGATTTTGCATTTGAGGGTAAACAGTGAGTGAAAAGGACCAGCTGCTGAAGAGAATTAGCCCAGTCTCATCTGATCCAACACAAACCTACTGCTGCTTGCTCTTAGAAAAAAAAAATCTGGCCTGACCCAGACTGACCCCTCGCACAAAGCCAGAGAGGCCCTGGAGGCAGTGAATTAATTGCAGCCCACTAAGCCTGATACACCGTATCTTAAACAGAAATGAGTTGCAGCCTCAGAAGAGCCACAGCCTGGACTACAAAGACCTAAAAGGGGAATTTTGTCCACATTTGTTCAAACTGTAAACAAAGACAAACACTGGGATTTTTTTTTTCTTTTTTGAGAAAAGGCAGCCCCCGTTAGGAAAGCAAAGAATGGATAGTTCACGAGGTTCAGCGAGGCTCAGGTTTTGACACACGCCCTTAAAACGCAGGTACAAGCAGATGAGAACCTCCATGACCTCGGTAAACAACACCCGCACCGTAAAAAAAAAAACCTTCCTTAACCTGCTCTCTTCTCCCTAAATCACAGGTGTCGGGAAAATAGTTGATGAAAAACACATTCCCCGTACATCCCCTTGAGTTGAAATGACTTGGAGAGTGGAGGCGTTATACACTCTGTTTACCCTGGCTGCTCACTCCTCAAGCCCACACTGTTGGAGCCACCTAAACTGGCCTCTCGCACCATATAGATTTCCCATCACTGGCCAGCATCTTAGGAAGACACAGAATGGAGAGGGAGAGAGAGAGAGAGAGACAGAGAGAGACAGAGGGAGTAGGACAACAGTCAGCCTGAACCCATTGTCTTTTCTCAAATAAGATACATATACAGATTAATAGTCCTGATAACGCCGAGAAACGGCTAGTTGCTTTGGGGAGAGGACGCCTTATCCATCTGGCGACTGACGTAGGTTCAAGTCTGGTTTCTATTCCTACTTGTGTGTACAGTAGTGCACTGTAGTAGAGAAACATCCTGTTGGATTTAAGGCTGTATTATGATGTGATACTGACTCCAGTGGCAGATGGAGAAAGAGTTCAGTCTGTGTTTCTGACAAGTGACGACCACAGAGGAGACACGCTGCCCTGTACATTTGAACAGTGTCAGTCGGTAAAAAAGAGCTCAACATGGTAAAGTGAAATTAAAATGTATTAAAAAAAAGATTTAATAACCACTTGGAGCAGGGGTTCCCAAAACATTTCCATGCCAAGACCCCCCCGCCCCCCAAACAGCATTAGCTTCTGGTCGGGACCCCCCTTCGCAAACCAACAGACAAAGCTACTAAATATGTAAAGAAACATCAACTTTTTGAATAGATTTTTTTTTAAACTTTTATTCACTATTCAATCATTTTTACATTTGTTTACCATAAGAAAAATTATTAACGAACATGTTTTGATCATGGTATATTCCCACTGAATAATAATAATAATAATAAACTGTTCTAAACACTCTGCTCCTTCAGCCTATTTCTTGTAAAAAAAGTAAATTTAGCGCTAGCTAGCTACATGCTAACTTGAGGAGCAGAGCAGCTTGATAACAGGCCTAACTCGCCCGCTCTACGATGTCGTAATGACGAGTCCGTAGCTGTTACACAAGGTGCGTTCAGGTACCATCGGAAAACTAGAGAGTCCGACAGTTACAGCGATTTACAGTAGGTGTTAAGGACAAATGGTTATAAAAATAAAAAATAAAATTTAATTCCCTTTTTCTTTCTTTTTTTGCTTGCTTTTCTGCCCCTTGACGCCCACCCAGGGGGCCACAGTCCACCACTTCAATAACCACTGGATTCAAGCACAAAAAAAATAATATCCCAGTTCAGGGGCAGCTCTGTGGCTCGGTACCACAGAACGACGCTGAGATTTCTCACATATAGAAATATAAATAGTCATGTAATGGTGCAGGCAGCATGGGAAACAAGAAATGTCATGTCTGGGGGCTTCTGATGTCAGTGGATCAATAGTGGCTGACAAGGAATTTTAAAAGATACTATCTGTCTGACTGCTGGTGGCAATAAACTGAAGATTAACCTTTACGTCTCTCCCAGTCCTGGGAAGTACCCTGAAGGGCATGCTCCGCTGTTTACTAATCAAAAAAAGTTGCTTTTTCGATACCACAAGTCTGGGGGAATGGCTTAGTGGCTCTGCACCCAGCCCTGAAAGTTATTGACTTCTTCCCCTCCTATATGAGCGTCGTAAATGTAAAAGATGAACACTCCACATGTTTCATATATCTGTGGCAACAGCAGCGGAGTGAAGACATATACGGACACAGCTTTGTTTTTATTAAAAAAACACCGTGTATTATCACACCGCACCGCAACGCAAATGTAATAATTCCTGTTGCCGAGCAGGAAACACAGGAAAATGCAATCACATGACAAGAGAAGGATGGGATTGTTGTTTGGCAGACTCTGCTTGGCTGACTGCACGTCTGTGTCCTTTGTGCGCCACGGGGGGAAACAAGAGCTCTTTTTCTCCTCCAGAAGCATGATCCTCTTTCACCCCATACCTTTGAGCCAGGAGCCAAGGTTTTGAATGGCTCTGACCTCTCTGGCCTCTGGTGGCCCCCACTGGCCTCCAACCTTCCAGCTGTTCATCCTTCCAGTCCAGCACACTGCCCAGTTACCCCGGTTTGTGCAGGCAACAGGAGCAGCACCCCACGAGGCGAAGAAGTGACCCCCCCCCCCTACAGGCCAAGGCAGGAGTAATGTCAGGGACTCCCCACCGGAGGGACAAAAAACAAGTGAAAAATGCAAAACAAAAAAGAAAAAAATGGACCGGGGTGTTTGAGGTTTGGAGGATAAAAGAAAATAAATGAAGTGGCAGGTTGGTGGATGGATCACCAGAATAGATCAGATATGTGAGGAGGGAAAAATGAAAAGAGGGAGATGAAAGAGGAACGTATAGACTGAGGCTTGGTGGAATATAAGGTAAGCCTGGTCACATGAGGTAAGCAGCCACCAGGCAATAAGACGGCGCTACACAAATGTAGACGGTGCAGTAGAAGAGCAATAGACGGACCAGCTTCCCTCTCTGCATGGCTGGCTCCAGTGACACAGCTGTCACCGCTAACTGGTTGATAGCTACGATACCTACGATCCTCACCTTCTGTTCGCCAGTCTTCCTCTTTCTCCTTTTTCTTTCTCCTCTTTCTTTTCTTTTTTTTTTTTTTTTTTGCTTTGGTTTCCCATGTGGAAGTCATATCCAACTAAGGTTATTATACAGAGGCCATCGAGAGCAAATATTATCCTACAGCTTTGTTTGTTTACCTGAGAAAAATCTTTGCCTCGGGCCTATCTCTCATTACGACACCCAAACAAAGACAACAGCAACCTGAGAAGGCTTTAAAATGCCTATAATTTGATGATGAGAGGTGTCGGTGTGTGTGTGTGTGTGTGTGTGGGTGTGTGGGTGTGAGTGAGGGGAGCGGGGTGGCAGTCGTGCAGGAAGGGCGAATGGAAATCGCCTCTGCACAGAATAAAAGCCTCTGAGGACTATCCATTGACTATGAAATGTGATGACCCCCCC